TTGCTCCCGAATCAGAAAGTCTAAGACTTGTGGTTAGATTCCTAAATTGACTAGTAAGGGTTAAATTACCTGAATCTCTCATCTTCTTTGGTAGCTTATTTAGCGTGGCAGCATAACGATTCTCGTTAAGGATAATACTTGAGGCTTCCTCCAACTTCTTTCGGTTTATGACTAGGTCTTTCAAGAATTTCACATACTAAGGCATTTAAGCAGCGACTTCAATGAAGGCATGTTTATTTGTAACGATTTGATGTGTTTAAGGAATTTTTGGTAGTCTTCTGTTTACTTGTATTCACTAGAACGTCTCAGATATGGGAGAGGTGGCTTGTTTGCTTTAACAGGAAGCTGATTAGCAGGTTTTTCTACTTCCCACATTGTATTGATAGGTTCACCTCATCGTGGTTCGTACATAATGTTATTTTCTTTATTTTCTTCCTTTGATTTTTTCACATCGGACGACTTGTTATTATTTAAGTAAATTAAAGGAGTTATAACCTTATCGCTTCTGGTTGTCACCACCATGATGTGTGCCTTTGAATTTAGTTCTATGTAGCTTGGAAGTGTTCTCGGAAGATGCTCATGGAGTAGCCTCGAGAGTTGCTAAACTTTTTCTCGATTTTGATAATCGAGGCTTGTTGATTTCTAACTGTAGCTTTTTTCTCCTTGAGGGCTACTTCGGTATCATTATGTCATTTCTTGGAATCCTGGGTAAATAGGGATAGAATCGAATTGAGATTCGACTTCTTTTTAGATTTTGGTTTCTCCTTTTGATAAAATCCACACCCTTGTTTTCTATTTTACCTTTCTTTCTACTATCTCTTTTACTCATCATACAGATTCCAGTCCTTCTTTAGTTTCTTCAAATCTTCATCGTACTTGTCTCTGCTTGAGTAGAAACTTTGAACCTTTCAATTCCCATTTTCACCCAATTTGAAATCTTTAGTCAAATAAGGACCGCTACAATTATCGGACCATACTTCTATGGCATGGATTTTTTTATTGATCTTCTTGATACTCCGATGAAAGGTATCGAGTTTGGCATTAATCGTAGCTACTCCATCGAAAGCTCTATCTCCATTTTATTTTCCTCGTGTGATGTCATCTCTAGGATTATGATATTCATAGGAATATTTCATGAATTCTTCAATTAGCTTCATGTTTTTATGGAATTCTTTTTGGTTAGTGGCCCTTGAGAGTTTAGAAGTTGTCTTGTGCAAACATTGATTCCCTTATAGAATGTAGATATTTTTTGTTGCGCGTTTAAGTCATGTTGTGGGCAATTCGGTAACATACATATCCAGTGCTCCCTTACTTCATACAATGACTCCCCATCAAGTTGTTAGAAGTTTTGCATGTTATTGTTTAGATTTTTAATCATTAACGGAGGGATAAATTGTTGTATGAACTTCTCCCATAAATTGGCCCATGTAGTGATTGTTCCCAATGGTAGCGATTTTAACCAACTCTTGGTTGCATCTTTGAGTGTGATAAGGAGAATCCTTAACATCACCACATCTCCAGTCACATGGAAAGTTCATGCAATCCATAATCTCGAGGATGTATCCCTTGAGCTCAAAAAATGGTTTTCCCAAAAAAAATGGTGTATCCTTAAGTATGTTGAGGATGTATCCCTTGAGCTCAAAATTTGTTGTGGTCGTGATTTTGGGTCACACGAGACCACATCCAGTATCTTCTTGCATTCTCCAGTTTTACTCCTCAATGCTCATTTCCGTAATATCGGTTATGGTGTCTTCTGGTTCACTTTCTTCCTTGGTTTTGGAATTAGTTTTGGTTTCGGATTCGGGTTTTACATGTGTTTTGTCTCTTTCGTACCCTTCCTCTTTTTTGCACTTCTTTCTCTTAGGAAACTCATATTCTATATTGTTGAAACCAGTAACAATCTTCGATGAGGATCCCCTAGTCATGTAATACTTTTAAAAAACAAAAACAAAACTGAAAAACGAACAAAAACGGAATAAAAATAAAAAATAAAAAACCCGGTTTCCACAGTGTGGAGAAGGATTCACCACGTCATGGGCACTGGAAGACAGAAAACTTCATATTTATTTCAATATACTATAATTAAACGTCCCTCAATACGATGCCAAAAGTTGATGTGTATAACTAGTTTTCAATTTATATATCCTATATAATCTAAACCAGTTTTATAACACAATTACGCAGTGCGACCAGTCGCAAAACAATATAGTTTTAGGTAAGATAAGGTTTTCAAACACTTAGGGAATGGGAATGGGAATGATTTCGGATTAAAAAGGTCTACTAAAAGTTAACTAATTAATCAACGGTTTTGACATTGTAGCATAACGAATTTGGTCACTTTGCATATTTAGTCACGCGTGTATGTTTTATGTTCAATTAGTCCTTATCATTAGGAACCACTATCTAATTACACCCTTATGAACTTGGTAAACGGAACAACCGTTTGTCTTTCTTTTATGGCATTAAAATAAATAAGATATTTACCTTATCTAATCCACATAAGAAATCAATGTCAAAATAGTCATATTTATTCACACACACCATTACACTCCTTCATTCTTCATTTTTCTCATATATCAGTGGCCAAGAACGAAAAAACTAGGGTTCCACATGTTTTACTTTGATCGAAGTCAGTGATTAGGCAACCAATTGATAATGTCAACCTCAATTCCAAACCCTAATGGACTCTACCTTATATACTGGAGCTCAAATTCAAAGGTGTTTTTCTTTGATATCCTTTCTCGTATAACCATGGTATGAAATTCACATTAAAAGATCATGATTAGTTGGGAATGACATACTCTGAGTGTATACCCTTTATCGAATGGTTCATGCAAGAAAGTATCAACAAGCTACACTATTGTCAGCCAGGTAAGCCCTTATTATCTGGGATAATTGCTATTCATGACGATAGAGATTATGCTACTTTCATTTTTTATGCTTTTGGAGTTGATGGTTTTATTTCCCTATATGTGGACCATGATGGTCAAGGAATAGAGGATTGGTTTGGCTTTGAGACAGAATAAGAAGAAGAAGAAGAAGAAGAAGAAGAAGAAGAAGAAGAAGAAGAAGATGGTGACTATTCATGCATTGATGGTGGTGAAAATGAAAATGAAATTGATAACCTTAAAGATGTGGAGGTGGAATTTAATGAGGATATAGTCACTATGATCAAAACACAAGGTGATAAGTTTCTAATAAATTATGTGTTGAAGAGGAAGATGGAAATGATCACAACATAGATGATGATGGGGGTGAAGAGGAGGAAAATGTAACCTAACAACATTTTATTTCTAATGAGCCAACTCCATGGAAAAAATAGTACCTTATGCTTGGTATGAGATTGAAAGATCCAGCTCAATTAAAATCTATGTTATGCAACTATATTGTTGCCAATGGGTACTAACTTTTCTTTGAGAAAATGGTAGAAAAAGATTGTTGGTTAAGTTTTGTAAGGGTGAGTACACATTCAGGTTGTGGGCATCTAGGATGAGTGATGACGAAAGCTTCCAAACCAAGTATTTAAAGGCAGATCACAAATATGCAAGAAACTAAAAGTTAGGCTCAATCATTAATTATTTTTGGATAAGGAATCATTATCCAAGAGAGTTCTTGCTTAGACAAAATACGAGTGTAAGAAAGCTTGGAACAGTTGTGTCACAGAAGTTTGGTATTCATGTAAGTGTTGGTCAATGCAGGAGAGCTAAAAAATATGCACTGCAACAAATAGATAGTACCCTTGTTGAACATTATGCAAAGTTTTGGTCATATGAGAAAGATATTAGGAGATCAAATCCAGGTAGTGCTATGAAGCTTGATGTGAATTGTATGCCAGATAGAAAGAACTACTTTAGTAAGTTCTACGTTTACTTTGATGCATTGAAGAAGGGGTGGAAGGAAGGTGCATGAAGATAATAGGTTTAGATGGTTGTTTTCTTAAAGGGATATGTAAATTGGAGTTGTTATGTATATTTGGAAGGGATGTAAACAATGGAATTTATCCCATTGCATGGGTAGTAGTGTGTGTGGATAATTAGGAAAATTGGAAGTGGTTTTTGGATCTACTCATTGATGACTTGGAACTTAATTTAGGATATGGATACAGTGTAATATCTAATCAACACAAGGTAATTTACTTCTTTATACTTAATTTCCAATTCTATTTGTATAATTACTTTTACTGAATTTATAATTTTAACAAGGTCTAATTGAGGCTCTCAAATAACTCATTCCATATGTAGAGTACAAGAAGTGTGGTAAGCAGATTAGCCAAAACTTGAGAAAAAGTTATAGTGGTGTCCAATATGAAAACATGTTTTGGAAGGCTTGTAAAGCAAAAACTGAGGTAGATTTTAATTTTTCCATGAAAGAACTTGAATATATAGACCCAAGTTCTCACATGTATCTGATGGACAAAGATCCCAAAACATGGTCAAGAGCCTACTTTGAAACTGCAAGATGTTATGATGTTGTCGAGAATGGAATGTCTAAAAGTTTTAATGATGTGATTGTTGATGCTAAGAAGAATCCAATTATCACCATGTTTAAGGAGTTAAGGTTGTATATGATGAGAGGGTGTTCAACATGAAAGCCAAGTGCAAAGGATGGGGCAATCAAATTTTCCCAATAATTAGAGAGTTATTGAATGAAGTTAAGAAACTCCAGAGACATTACCAAGTATTACCTAGTGGGTTAAATCAGTTTGAAGTAAGAGGAACTAGGGATGGTTATGAGGTAGATCTTGAAAGGAGAATTTGCTCATGCAGGCTGTGGCAACTTAATGGAATTGGTTGTGTTCATTCTATTGCAACAATTATTTTTATGAATAAAGATGTACAGTCTTATATTGTTAAAATGTTTAGTAGCATTAACTACATGAAAGCATACAAGCATAGGTTAGCACCTATGAATGGAAGTAAGTTATTGCTAACATCTTTGTATACACCAATTTTACCTCATGTTCATATAAAAATGTCTGGGAGACTTGCAACTAAAAAGAAATGGATGAAACAGAAAACCAGTCAAATAACAAACCAAAGAAGAGTAACCAAACACAAACCAATGATCTGCAACAAAGGGTATCCAAGGCTAGTAAGAAACAAAAATGTAGGGTTTGTAAGGTTGAAGGACACAACAAAAGAGCTTGCCCTGCTGGTGGAAGGCCTCTTAAAATCAAAGCCAGAAGAAAAAAATAGATAAATAATTAGTTATATTATTTTTTGTGTTTTTTATTATTCTTTTTTGCTAATGTTATATCACATAGGTAAAGGAGGATGGTGTTGAAGTCAATGATGATGGTGAACGAGGTCATAATGATAGTGGTGAAGGAGGTCATAATGATGGTGGTGAAGGAGGTCAATATGACATACAAGACCATGATCAAGTCGAACTCACACCTTTGTATTTTGATGCTTATAGAAATGGAGATGCAATCAATGGTCTTGATGTCAATGGTGGTGATGTTGATAGTGTTAATGTTAATGAGGTGCATGTGCAAAATGAGGTTACGGAAGGGCCAATTAGATCCCTTTTAAATAAAATCAGAAGGAAAAAGTTTGAAAAGGATTATCAAGTTAAAGCTGGCCAAAAGTGTTGGTGATGAAGATGCACCTAGGAATTTTAAATCAAAAGCTATTGCTATATATTAAGATGCACTTTAATTGTTATTGATGTTAATCTAGAACTTGGTTGTTTGTATGAACTATGTTATGTGAACATGGTTGTACGTTAGTAAATTGGTTGTTATTTTTAGTTATTTGTTGTGTTTTTATTAAGTTGGTTGTCTGTTATTAAGCTGCATGCATGGCAAGGGAATATGAGGTTAAAATGTATGGTAAGGACAAATACGGAAAACTATAAAACGTCGACCACATGGTGCACACAAGGTACCACCACTGCACATAACTCAATTTAATTTTAAATGGACCAAGTATGCACCATATGCCTGACAATGTGGTTCCCACAATTCAATTTTAAATGGACCACAAACATATCATTAAGTACAGACATGAATATAAGTCTTTCAACCATTACCATTTTCATTCATTCATTCATGGGATCTTTCATACATACACATACAAAAGTTATCAAAAATACTAACATCCAAAAACTATATCTACCTTACATTCACATATTTTGATCATGTACACATCCATCCAAAACCAAAAAAAACTTTCTACTGTGATGGTCATCTACACATACACTACACAAAAGACTGGTTGGAATTATAAATCATCATCCATCATCCCAAGTAAGACTTCATCACACTGTTTTCTTATTCATCTCTATGAACTCTTTGTCGAAAACTTCTTTCTTTGCTTCCATTTCTTGATGCAACTTAACCAATTTTTCCTGTGCTTTTTCAACCTCACAGTGGTTTTCCTTTCAGTGTAGCTCAAAACTCATCTTACGAAGCTGTTCTTTGTAATACCCCTCCTCCAGTTCATCGTATTTCCACAGAAACAAAACATACATTTTGGACCTTCAGCTGACTGATTAAAAAGGAAGAACAAAATTAGGGTTATGATTAGGGAAAATGTGTACATTTTCCAGCTACTGATAGCAAATAAACTATAAGTAAAGAAAATGAATACTCACCAAGGAGTTTTTGTAGTTCCAAAACCTTTGGGCTACATTATCAATAGTCCATGTAGTCCTTTCCATGTTGATCCCATCCTTACAGCCACATAGGTGACGTGGTGCATCATCGTCATGGTGTCGAGGACAAAGAATATTCATGGATCGAGCAAATGAGGCAGAAATGGTTTTGATTTTAGCGATCGAGAAGGGGTATCGGGAGAGAGGGAATGATCCAATTTGGGTAACAAACTATCACTTTTGGTTCGATAAAGGTATCTATTTAAGGAAGGTATGGCATCATATCTAGTGACGTGGTAAGTTATAAGTCCACATATGTGAAGATACATCAGCGTGTAACCCGTTAACTGGATACAATTTCAACCAAGGGTATAATTAGTCGGTATTTCTTAACGATAACGACTAATTGAGCATAAAACATACATGAGTGACTAAATGTGAAAAGTGACCAAACTTCGTTGTGCTACAGTGCTAAAAAAACCCTTAATAAAATAAGAAAAAATGGGGTTGTTCTGATTTTGCAAGTTTAGAAAACTTAATGTCAATCAACTTTTCAAATACTATAAAACAAGCAAGTATTTAAACTAAAGTCTAAGTAAAAAATGGTTTGGAAAACAAGATTTAAAGAGTAATTTCATTTAGATTTGATTCATCTATTCCCTATGGTTGATGTATGGATAATGCAATAGATTTAATTTTAGTTGTTTACTAATTCCTATGATCTGTAGTATAATGTTCAAAGTACTAATCCTTTGATTTATTAAGACTATTTGTTCAGTGATCAAGTGGACAAATAATCACATAAACCAGTGTTTAGTTAGAATTATGTGAGACTTAAAATCGAAACTGATATTAATGATATTAAATACCAATATCATAGATGAATGTTCATCATATATTAGCTTACACATTAAACTTATCAACTTTTCTATTTAACCGTATTTTTTTATAAAAACTGTAGCCATACAAATTTATACTTCATAAAATCATATGATTTAAACTCATCAACTTAGATAGATCATCTAATCCTAACAATACTCAGCAATAAAAAAAAACCGAAACTTTAACACATAAGGTTCTTTAACAAGCAAAACTTAATAAACAAGCAACTAGATTGAATCCAAAATCTTCAAACCAACACATAAGTTCGAGGATCATTTACTCTAAACGAAATCAAGGGTTTTTAGCCCATAACTACAGCAGAAAAATAATTAAAAACAAAGTGAAATTTGAACCTCATGATTAAAACAAAGAAAAACGAGTAATTAGACGTGAGTATGCTCTCGATCTCTTCAAATCCATCTCTCCAATCAAATTTTGATCTCTAATGGCTTAAAGAGGGTTCTCTGGTCCTCTAAAGTCAAAGGAAACGTATTGCATAAATTAGTTTATGAGGAAAAGTCGATATTTATATCTTCCATAAAATAGTCGCAATGTTGTGGATAATAGACGACCACGCCATGGGATCAACTTCCTTCGCATGCCCTCCAAGACTTCCAACGTGTACTTTTCTGGTAGATTAATCAAGGAAAAACTCTCTGCCACGAAATGGAAAACAAGTGGCCATGCCATGGGACTGCAAATTCCTCAGAATGTTGACTTTTGTTGACTCAATCCAACAATCTCCTCCCATCTCCGCATTTCCGCTCCTTTTATCCTGAACATGTCTTTTCTGCTACAAAATAGAATTTTAGCACAATAAGTACATTTTATCTTTACTTTAAGACTAAATATAGTTTAAAATATTGAAATATCCCATAAAATTTATAACCAAATATGGTGATATTACTCGTCCCTCCACGATTTTTAATTTCGGCATTCTGTTTTTTTTTTCATTAGATCGTTTTTTATGCTTCTATGTTAAGAAATGATCAATAGAAGCATTGCAATATTGCACATCCATACCCATGGGGACTTGAGCCCTTTCTCCCTCCACATCCACACACCTTGTAAACCTTTAAAATGTTTTTTTGCATTATATATGTGGCATCTATGACATGTATGTATCTGAGTGTTCATTGGATGCCAATAACATTGGAGTTGAGGGATCATTTGAAATTGCCTGAAAATCAAATGATGTTTATAAAAAAAAACTAGAAAACTTAAAAATAAATTAAAATTAAACATATTATATATAAATTTATAAATAATATACCAAAAGAAGCTAGAACATGCCAATCTTTTCAACTTCATTTCCAGGCGGTCTTATCAAAAGCGATGTCGCGCCACTTATAATTGCCAACCTCCCAAATGAAAGAATTGTATACGGGACCACCCGACATGTAAATAGCTTTGACAAATACCAACTTAATAAGCCACTTACCATTTTCTTGGTATAGACTGTTTAGTTTTCTTTTGTTTTGTACAGTACCTCTTTGTTTTAGAGGTACAAGTTCATAAAAGTATTAGTCATGATAATATTTTAATAAATGAATCAAAATAAATATTAACTACCATCAAGCAAGTGAGAACTGAGACCTCCACCGAACGGATGTAGTGGCTCCTCACCACTTTTACCTGTATTGCCCATCACATTAGTCATAAGATGGAGCAAAATAATCCAACAACTGACATGTCGTGAAAAATTATAAGACTATATATATAATACAAATGCAATTTTAGCCATAAAGTTTTCTGTTACATGTGTGATATTATTACAACAAATACACACCTTATATTACTAGTCAAATTTAAATATGTTTTAACCGTTCTCGCCCTATGACATTTTAGTGTCTACTTCAAACATATCACTATCATAATTGGGATCGTCGTCATCATAATCGGTCTAGTAGTCGTAGTCAGAAGAATTATTGACAATACCCATTGATGGACCAATTTCAATATCATCTCCAGCCGATTGGGGAGTTTGAAAGTACTGGCCAAAGTCAATTGAAAAAGTGAAATTGGAAAAATCATTACTAAGAATGATGTCGATAGAGTCATTTTCGACATTTTTGATTGGATGATGGCCGACATCGTTCATCTGCATATCCTAAATTCTTCTTTGATTAACATTTTCAACAACCCACCACATGTTTCTATTTTGGTCAATTTGAGAAGGTTATCACATGTAAAACACTTGTTTAGCATGCATATCAAATGTTAGTTGATGTTCGCTGACCAATTTGCATTGTAGATCGATACCGGTGAAATTATTATCCAATATAACTCCTTTAGTATCAAACGATTTGCAACGAAAAATTACAATAGAATAATTATTAGAAAGAGAAATGAGGGAAGGAAATCAGTGGTGTTGTGTTTGTCGTAATCGTCAGAGAACAACAACATATGCGGTCCTTAAAACAACATAAACCATCTATTAGAGTTAAAAATCAAGGTTTGAGGAGAAAGACCAATAGAAAGGAGGTATGTCGAGCACATACTGTTGCCAGAGATGCCCATAAAAGATGCTCTTTTTGTTGTCTGTAACGTTGAGGTTTTGAGCCACTGAGGATGGAGTAGGGTGGTGGCACTAGTCGATTATGTATGTGATAATCATGGCAATTCGTCAGTGAAATTGTTTAGTCGCTATAAAAAGCGAAAAGAAATAGATGAGAGCACAACTAGGATGGGGAAGAGAACTAAATGGGACATACCTTTAGCGGCGACTAAATTTACTGCGACAAGGTGGTAATAGTAGTGATATGTTGGAGGTAAATATTCACGATCTTTTTTCGTGAGCGTTACAGATGACGGTGTCACCTTTAATGTTTTCGCTGCTATTACTTATGTACGGAGACCTACCCTATCCACTGGATCAACGTAAAAACATAGGGTCATGATTCATTCTCGACAACTTCACATGGATCATCGATCGACGGTAATAGTGATTACACCAGACATGCTTCTGATGTCATTGCAAAAAAATGCATCACCACTAAAGATGTTGTCGCTAAAGGCTACATTTCTAGTTGTGATATGAAGTATCTCAAATATTTTTAATGAAGAACTCGTTACACAAGTTAATTAAAAATTTAAAAGAAATTATCAGAAAAGTATTTATTTTCAAATAAGATTATGATAACAAAAAAACATCAATATAAGCCATGTTTGGTATAATTGCAAAAAAATATAGTTTTTAATTGACTAAACTGCAAAATTGGTCCTCGTGGTTTCGCAAAAACCGTGGATAAGGTCCAAAAAGTTTATGACTTGCATGGAAGGTCCAAAATCAGAAATTTTCCGTAGATTTGGTCCCTAATGGATTTGAAAAGACTATTTTACCCTTATCATTTACTTTTTACATATTTTTATTTATTTTAATATTTAAATATTTATAAGAAAATAGAAAATAAAATCTCACGCCACCCCTTACCACCACCCCACTTTCACTGTCCGTCTCTTTTTGACTTTCTTTTTGGTCTTCTTCTTCATCACTTTTTTGCAAATCAAAACTCATAAATGCATATAAACAAAAAACCCAGTTAAAGAAAAAAACAACTCATCTCAGATAAATCGCTTGGATATATGCCAACAACCTTCATCCTCTTCATCTCATGTCCTTTAACTTGCAAACAGAAGAATGAGATGGGTTTTTAATCTAAAGAAGGATATGTTTTTCACATTTAGTCTTCATCCTTCTAGCATGAGTTTCAAAGATATGTGATGTTATATCCAAAAACTAGTAATAGATTTTCTAGGTTATTCATCTAATTTTCAAGTTTGTGATGAACAAATTGGAGCCCTAATAATCTATCAAGAATGAATAAAGGGATTGGAACCAAATGCATCGACCTTATATTGAAAAAATTGGATCGTATCGGGAATAACCGAGGTTCGAGAACCCTTTCTTATTCGTCCTTGTTGGGTATTGATCTAATAGGAAAGGGTGGACATATACTGGTTTTAGTATCTCAGCTCACAAGTTGAGAAAAGTATTCTTCTTGGCCCGATTTCTCAGTCACACCATTTGCAGTTACAACAACCGAGTGATGACTTTCTCTAACCCTTGTGACTATTTCACCACTGATAAGTCAAACCAATGACTTTCTCTAACTGTTTGATTCTTTACGTTCCTTTCTTGGTTGAGATCTTTAGTGTCGTTCCATTGGGTTTCAATGAATGGGTTTTCGTCATCTCCATTTCAGCACTTATCATTTTTCATTAACTGCTCAAGCTCTTCGCAAGGACTACAAAATCATTTCGGATGATTTTGAAATTTTTTTAGGGTTTCAGAACCACCAATAAGTTCAATCCCTATCCTCAACAATCGAAAAAGGTCTCGTCTTGTGACATGTATTCTTTGCTTCTCAATCTATAGTTGCATTCTCACGTCTTTTGTTCACAAATCCTCGCACCAAGTGGGAGGCATTATTCCGACGAGCATTGTTGATTTTCTGGTGGATCTATAATGGAGATGGAGTGTGGTGTTGGTGGTGAAATTAAGATTAGGGGATGTGAAATTAGGTGGATCTAGGTTTCTTTTGGGATGAGAGAGAGATAAATAGGGGAAGGAAGAAGATAACCGGGGGTAGGGGTGTTGGATAATTTTATTATTATTAATTTTCAAATTAAAAAAAATTAAAATAAGTATAAAAATGTAAAAAAGAAACAAAAAGGGTAAAAAGGTAATTTCATATTGTTCAGGGATCAAATCAATGAAAAATTGGTGATTTTCGATCAATGGTACAAGTTAGAAACTTTTTGGATTTTATCCACAATTTTTTGCTAACCATATGGACCAAATTTGCAGTTTAGTCTTTTTAATTTAAATTAGCTTTTCAATAAGTTATTTTTATAGAAATTAAGTAATCCAACTACAATTTAATGTGTAGTTGAAGAAAATAATAATTTATTTTCGACAAATATAACCATTTGGTCTGGAATGAGATTCTGGATTGAGAAAAACACTTGACATTACGGAATTCCGGACGAACATTCTAGATTATGGACCATAAATTCAAAGTTCGGAAAAAGAATAATTAAAAAAAAAACTATGGAATTTCAAGAATAAGTCTGAAATCTAATTACAATTCCAGAATGTCGAAAGAAAGAAAAACACCATTTTTTACTTAAATAGTTAAATCTAACAAAAAAAGGTAAACAAACATAGCAAATATAAACTATATAGGATAATAGGTTATAAAATCATATATTTGATTGAAAAACTGTGACAATAAACACTTCGAAATAGACATTTTAAGATTTCTTTGGAATTTTGTTTTTTTGAAAAAGAACCAAAAAAGAACACTTACATTGGAACACCAAATCTAGAATGATGTATTTGGGAGTAAATTGTAATTTTTAAAAAATTGGATAAAAAAATTCTTAACTTTTTTTAAAAAAAATCTCATTTATAATGGTCAGTTTTCCTACTTCCCCTATTTTAATACTTTATTAGAAATTGTTTATAAATTACTTTATAATTTATAAGAGTATCTCAAACTGTTAACGCCCCAAAACCATTTATTTTTGTTATTTTATTTTTGTCTACTAGCTTCTATTTGACAAAAAAAAATTATCAAATAAGCTCTCAAATGGTTATAATTTTTAAACGTTTTTTTTTTTAAATTAACTCATTTATCTTTTATATATCATAAAGTTTTATTAAGCTTACTTATATAATTTATAATTTATGAAAACGTCATATTTTCGGAGAAAAAAAACACTATTAAAAACGATAAAAGAATGTGTAAACATAATGTTTGATATTTTTTTATTTTGAAAGTTTAAAGTATTTTTTTAGCTATATTTTGGCTATTTCAAAAATAAATTAATTTGTATGGTGTTTATTAAATTATTAATTAACTAAAATAAATCTAATATCCAAATATAATTAGTGTACAAAAGAAAATGCAACTAAAATAGGGATTAAATATAACCAAGTCATATATATATATATATATATATATATATATATATATATATATATATATATATATATATATATATATATATATATATATATATGGGATAGAAATTATATATTACAGCTCCACCTAAGCTTAGGTACTAAACCTCTAAAATATATCATTTTAACATGCTAAATATGCCCAGTTTGATTTCACTTGGTAAATATATCATCGTCCATAACATTTCTTTCTTTCATTATTGTTTTACCATATTTGTTTTCTTTCCTCAATTATCGTTTATTACTTCACCCAAGTACATTACTAAACCCTAAACCCTAAATTTAAACCCTAAATCCTAAATCTAAACCCTAAACCCTAAGCCTTAAACCCTAAACCCTAACCCTAATCCCTAAACCCTAAACTTAAACCTTAAACCCTAAACCCTAAACCCTAATTAACCTAAACCCTAAACCATAAACCTTATTGTGTCGATCTTGAATTTACATCTTGAAGTATTAACCGTGAATCCATTAACCGTAATTTTTATATAGTAAAACAATGTATTTTCAAGAGGTTTAGTATCTAAGTTTAGGTGAGGCTGTAATGTATATTCCCTTTTCCCATATATATTCCCTTTTCCCATATATATATATATATATATATATATATATATATATATATATATATATATATATATATATATATATATATATAAAATAAGGGTTTGGAGTGACTTTCCAAATTAATCTTCTTTACGATGATAAAAAGTCTGAAAAGTTTTAGAAAACTAGCATCAAAGATGTTCTAAGTTATACATAATTTAGTTTTGTGGACTTAGCTTTTGTTTAACAAAATTAAAGTAGTTTATTGTAAGTTGATATTTAGTAAAACCCTAAAAATAACTTTTTTTAGCATATAAAATATTATATGCTAGTTTTTTTTTATAAGCTATTTTGAGATAATTCTTTATAAGCTTAGGAAGATTTTTGAAAAATATTATAAATATATCTTTAATTATACTTATTGTTTTTCTTTTAGTTATATAAATTCAAATGTCTATTTATATCCTTTTATATTTGCAATCTAACTTATAAATTGTTTTTTTACCAAATAGTAGAAAAATAAAAATTAATTAGTTAATCTATCGGCTATCAACTATATAACTTATTTTTTTACGAAATACTAAAAAATATAAATTAATAAATTAATTTATCAGCGAATAACTAATCTTTCCACCATTCTACCAAGTAAACTTTTATGTAGGACAAACTAGCTAACTATCATTAAGTTGCCGCAATAACTGAAATAAGTTATCAAATTGGTACTTTATAAACTATTTTTCAAGCTAGGATAAACTATTATTTTAATACAAAACATTAAATTGCCATAAAATAATTACAAACAAAAACTAATGTTATATGCTAAAAATATATGAATTAAATACTAAATTACAATACATTCAAAAACAAAAATTAACTAACTTAGTCGAATATTATTGAAACATAAAGGGTTTTGCTATAAATATGGCATGAATATTATTGAAATATAAAAGATTTTGCTATAAGTATCCCATTTATCTATATTTACATCCTTTAAAGTCAATCAAATCAAATTTTTTATATTATGTGACATTATTTTTTTTCTTTTTTAAAACAAATTATTATTATTATTATTATTATTATTATTATAAATTTCACACAAAATTTTAACATCAAACGACATTCTAAATTCGAACGGCTATATAAAATCGATTTTTAAATATTTTTTTATATTTTAATATTAATATTATTATTGTTAAAAATTTGGAACAATATTTTATAAATCGGACATTATAAATTCGAATGGTTATATAAAATCGAAACAAAAGCAAAGTTTGTTCCTACTAATTATGAATCAGAACATTCGGTTGCATGATAAACATTGTATAGTGCACCATTAAATGTTTTCAATCCGTACAACGCACTACGAAATTATAATGTCATACCAATTAATATCCGTAATTAATAGGAACAAACTTTGCTCTTGTTTCGATTTTATATAGCAGTTCGAATTTATAATCTCTGATTTATAAAATATTGTTTGAAATTTATAATAATAATAACAATAATATTAAAATATAAAAAGTATTTAAACCCGATTTTATATAATAGTTCAAGTCGAAAGTTAAAATTTTGTACGAAATTTAAGATACATTAGAAAATGAGAGATAATTATAGAAATACCAATATCAACTATGTCAGGACAATGTTATCTCACTTGGCCGCCAGCCAACAATTCGACGTGTGGTTACTCTTCATGTGTCCCACCATAATACACCCAAATCGGGCATCCCTTGCGTTCTCTATATATGCTTCCATCTTCAATCAATCAACCAAAATAAACATTTCTCAATAATTTAAAAACAGAAGTTCATTATTTTTAAGATGGACCAATCCTACTTCCACTACGCACAACCGGAATTCTCATCGGAAACCTGTTTTCTTTCACCGGAATACTCCTCCCCACCTATCCAATCCCAGTACTATTCACACTACTCCGACCATCATTTTCTTCCATTCAACGAAAACGACTCCCAAGACATGTTCCTCTTCGAAGTCATTACTGACTCCACCGGAGAAACCCACTCTTCTCCGGAGCAGGTCATAGATCAAGAAGAGAAAGAGTGGAGTTACAGAGGCGTGAGGCGGCGGCCGTGGGGGAAGTACGCAGCAGAGATACGTGACTCTACACGAAACGGCGTTCGTGTATGGTTGGGCACATTTGACACTGCAGAGGAGGCGGCTCTGGCATACGATCAAGCGGCGTTTGCATTACGGGGATCGGCGGCGGTGCTTAATTTCACGGAGGATGTGGCATATGAATCTTTAAGGGAAATTGGGTATGTATATGAAGAAGGGAGTTCGCCAGTGTTGGCGTTGAAGAGGATGCATTCGATGAAGCGAAGATGCGAGATGAAGAAGAAGAAGCGAGAAGAAGTGAAGGATGAAGATGTTGTTGTTTTTGAGGATTTGGGTAGCGATTATCTCGAACAATTATTGGGGTTTGAAGAAAACTGCAACACTAGTAAAAATTGGTGAAACCTTATATGCATGAAAAGGTGAAAAAGTAAACGAAAATATAATATATATACGTTTTATTTTTTTTTTTATTTTTTTCCCATTTTAGCTTATATAGGCACGAAAGGGTCAAGACTCAAGGGTGACGTTCACATATAGTTTTTTAAGTTTTATCTCTTTCTAAGGTATGATATTTCGAGTCTTTTGAAAATAGAATGCAAAGGTTCCAAGAAAGAAATGTGTCTAGAAGATCATTTTCTAAAAGGTGTGGGAAGGATGGGCTCATTCAGTTTATAAGTTGACAACAATACATTCATCAATGGATAGAAATGATACTCTTGTTCTTATTCCTTCATTTTTGCTCTGTTGCGAATACAAAGTTTCTTTACTTTTTGCATGAGTACTGTATGTGAGTATTTAATGTGTTGTTGGTGTGCCTTTGTGATATTAGAAAACGTAGGACAATCGTTTTCCTAATAAAATAATATCCGGGAGATTGTAAATGACTTGGGAAATTATGTTTTCTAGACTATATCCATGATGCGACTCGCATTAGGTTAAGATGTCATTAGTAGGGCTGATTACTATTTGAAACTTCGAATACAATTTGTATCTCCCATTCACAAATTGGATTTGCTTAATGGTTGTAATGTTCGGAAATGTAGATTAGTAGGACCTAATTATTCATATTTGAAACTTTGAATAAAATTCGTATCTCCGATTTACAATTTGGATTTGCTCTATAGTTGTAATATTCGGAAATGTAGATTGTTTTAAATCAAAACTGAAGTGATATTTTGAATTTAGATTGTTTTAAAACAAAACCAAATTGATATTTTGAATTTCTGATTTGTTTTTTTGGAAAAGTAAGAGACAAAAATTTCTGCTTTTTTCATGGTGTGATTAACAATAACATATCCAAAAGACATCAATGGGCTTGTGCTTAACCGGATTTGGACCATAAAACCGACTTTAATCAAAGATGAGCTCTTCAATTTTTTTAGTAACAAGGTCTCTAATTCACTCCTCTTGAGCTTGATTTGTAGCTCTCTTAAAACTTTTTAACGGTTGACAATTTCTCAAAGATGAGTTCTTCAATTTTTTAGTAACATAAATGTAAATTATCGTTTATCGCTCTTATTCCCAAGGTCAATGATCTGCTTTTTCTTTTTGATTATCATCCCATTAATCTGATTAACATCTATAAAGCAATATCTAATAGAATTAAACTGGTGATTAGGTTTGTGGTTGGTAATTTTCAATCTACGTTCATTGTGGGAATGAACATTCTTGATGGACCAGTAATTATTAATGAGATATGACATAGCTAGTACACTATATTGCCAAGGCATCCCTTGAATTCACATATTTGGGCCTTCTCCTTGGGCCAATATATGAAACATGCTGAAAAATGTGGTCCCAATTCGGAAACAAGTTTATTTGTTAAAAAAAATATAACGAAGTAGAGTTAATTAACATCATTACATAATCAAAGTAAATCCATACAATTCATGGCCTTCAAAAATATTATCACCATCTTCTAGTCAACTCACTTTAAAGTCTCTAATCTAAACACATGTCAAAGAACAACCCTCGGCGGGTCCTATTTTATACACACCAAACTACAAAATCAACCTATTTTAGTAGGTTTACTTTTTGTGTTAATATGGTAATTATTATCATTTGACTAACTTTCATTATAACCTAATCATTCTTAATTTATTATATAATAATTACTTTTTATTACTAACTTTATTAATATTACTTAACTTAATTTTTAAGTGTTTTATTACTAACTCGTTTTTTTAACTGCATATTCCTTTTTTTAGTTCCTTTTTTTATTTATATTTTATTTTCATTTTATACTTAAAAATTAGTGTATATTATATACTTTTGCATGGTTCAATCAAAAAGCTTATATACTATATTAATTATATTAATATTATTTTTATATTACTATTAAAAAAATTGAACGGTTATTAATTTTATCTTAAATTGAAATTTTTTTAAAATGGTAATTATGCAAAAATAAAAAGGTTATGCAATTGGTTTTAGATACCAAATAAAGCCGTACTTATACAAAAATAAAAAGATATAAACAACTTAATTTCAAATAATTGTGATTAAACTTTTATACGGTTTCAAACCTTGAAACTTTTATAATGATAATAACTTTTATATATGTTTAATTTTTGGATATAAAAAATAACATATTCAACTTAAAACGGTGATAATGATTATAAACTTATATTTGTATAGTAATGTAAAAATTAAAATTTGGTATGCGTGGTTTAATAAAGAATTTATAAAAGAAAACAAGAACAAAAAAAGAACACTGAGTTATTTTATTTTTTTCTTTAGGTAAAAAATCATAAAAAAATAATAATAAATAAAAATGAGGTGTCTATCTTAAAATATAAAATAGAAAATAAGTGTTTATCTTAAAAAATCAAAGAAATCATAAAAAAAAAATAAAAAAAAAAATAAAAATAAAAAAAGGCGTGTAAATGGGAGTACACAATTTTCAATATTTCACTTTTTTTTTCTTTAAAGGGATCTATAATCAAAATAGTTTATATTTTTTAATAGATTAGAGGTTAGTTTGGTGTTCAGTGTAACTTGTTGTGTATAAAGAAAATCCTATTTTTTAATAGGTTGGAGGTTAGTTTGGTGTGCAGTGTAGCTTGTTGTATATAAAGAAAATCCCATTAAATAAACAAAAGTATTTATAGACCCTAAAATTTTTGGGCCGCTAGACTATCCCATCTACAGCCATACCATCTACATGTACGGTAACTGCCATCACGGACGGACGCAAATACAATGCAACATGTGGGGATAAGGAAGGACCACGACGAATTTTGAAGAACATATTCTCCTGATAAAGCAAAGGTCCCCCCTTTAGTCTTTACTTTAGCCCAACAAAAAATGTATACAAAGGCCTTGGTTAAGATGTAATCGTTTAAATGTTTGTTTTTTATACGGTAAATTGTTTGAATTCTATATCGCTTGAAAATTACTTGTCAATTTTAGATCAAATATAGTTAGACCCAGTTCGTATTAGATTATATAAAGCATGAAAACGCTAGACCTAGTCTCGTGCAGGTGCATAAAAGTTGGATTTATCGGATATCATATATTTAAGAGAAATTAAATACCTTCTTATTTTTTTCCTACACATCATCCTACCCAATTAAATAATGACATGTATAATATTTAATGTTTCTTTAATAAAATTTAATTATATTTTACAATACTAGTATGACACATGTCATCATTTAAATTGGTAGAAAGACTGATAGGAACAATAGGTATGAAGATATTTAATTTCTCATTTTTAAAATTCCGGATGAAAATGTTAATATTGCATATCAAATATATTTAAAAAAAAAATTTCTAAATTTCGGGTAAAAAAGTTACGCGTTTTGGATTGTATTTATCCAGTTATTTTAGATTTTCAGGATTTTGTACGGTTATAATATATATATATATATATATATATATATATATATATATATATATATATATATATATATATATATATATATATATATTCAAACAATATATATGTCTGGGATAAATATATGATAGTTTTTTGCATAACCTGATCATATCAATCGAATAACATAGTTTGTTCAGATACATTAAAATTATGGATGTGGTTTGTGTATCTCTAGTTGTGTTACAACGTGAGAAAATTTGGGTTCGTGTGTGTCTATATATATATATATATATATATATATATATATATATATATATATATATATATATATATATATATATATATATATATATATATATATATATATAGTGTTAGGTTTATATGAAATCGTTAAATTTATGAAACAAGGAGTTACAATCCTAGCTACTCATTTTGTATATTAAAAAAACATATATATATATATATATATATATATATATATATATATATATATAGTGTTAGGTTTATATGAGACCGTTATATTTTATGAGACAAGGAGCCGCAATCCTAGCTACTCATTTTGTAGATAAAAAAAACATTTTTAAAATGCACAATAATTGAAAATTTTCGGGAAAAAAAAATTAATATTATTTTTGTAACTTTTTTATCCAATTAAACAAAAAAAATAAAATTATCGTTTTTTGAAATATCTGTGAAATATTTTGGTAGAATATTAGAATAAATTACATATCTGACAAATCTACTAAAATATTCTAACATTCTAAAAATCACATTGTAATATTTATAATGTAATATTCTATTAGAAAAAAGATAATTTATTATTTATTTATTTATTATTATTTTAGGTAAAGAAAATGACGAAAATAGTAATTAAAAAATAATTTTCGGATTTTTTCCTTTTATTTTGCATTTTAAAATTATTTTTATATTGCATATTACAACTTCACAAGATTAACATGGTCTCAAATGAATATATATATATATATATATATATATATATATATATATATTCTTTTTAAGCATTCAAAATTTTATGAGAACCCCAAAACATTAAACTCTCCTCCACATGTTTTGTATAATATGAAATTTTGATTAAGAAAAGGTTATTTAGTCATTTTGTATGATTATAAATGTTGTTACAAGTGCTTTACCTAGACCGGTTAAAAAGGAAAGGGAATATCCAGATGACCAGATGTTTTTGACATTGGAGAAGAAAATTAGTTGTGTTAAAATGGAAAGGGAAGATCTAGATGACCACATGTTTTGAGATTGGAGAAGAAAATTAGTTGTGTCATATGGAGAAATGGGCAATTATCACCATTTCATGCAATATACTTTAACGTCTAAAATAAAACCAGAAATTTAGGCTATTTGCCTCTAGTAAAGAAATCTGAGATTTTATTAAAGACTGTATACCACCATGGCACCACATATATGGCTCGTTAGTATAAACTTTGGGATAATGACTTAGGAGGGTAATAAGGTTTCCAGTTTGTCCGTATTAAGTCACTAAGGTTTTTTTTGTGCGTATTAGACCAATATAGTTGTTATTATCATTTAGAAATATTCATTTTTACTGGTAAAAAGGACTATTTCAAAACTGTAATAACAACCATATTGGTCTAATACACACAAAAAAACCTTAGTGATCTAATACGGACAAATTGGAAACCTAATTACCCTCCTAAGTCATTAACCCTAATTATTTAGAAAACATGCTTACTAATCAATGTAACGGACTTGTTTGACTGAAAATAGTTGCTTCCATTTAAACTTATCTCATAACCCTTCCAGCACTTCTAAGTCCAAAAACTCATATGATTGATGATCTTCATTACATAAATATGCAACATTTTATCAATAACTTCTTTTTTGTCATTTAAATGTTTACATGAACACATCCATATGTACAAATACAATGTCACTTTAATACCTCCCATCAATGTCTACATTTGATAACGAATGGAAATGTAAAACCAACAGGGACTTGCAGAAGATACCTATTATCAATTATCTAATAAAAAGCAAAACCACAACATGAACTAAGAAACTGAAGTTACAAAACTAATCAAAAATCAGCACATACACAAACACATACAGACTATATACAACACATAAACGGATGTTTATAAAAGCATGAAACTTAATGATAGGAAAAGTAAAAAACTTAAAAGAGACTTTAAAAAAAGAAAGATCACCCTTACTTGCCACAAATGGTTGAAGACATCAACAAGAAAATCAATCTGATCATGGAATCCACATGTTGTCTGATCATGACTTCAGTAAATGAACTACCTAAATGTAAGAATTGCAATTGAACTCTATTAGCATTTGAAAATGGAATTAGGGTTCCATAGAAGACGACGAAGGGTTTAATTTTTTTTTGGACCATTCCTCGATTTGTGTGTGTCATCCTTACGTAGGGGCCATGCTAATCTTCTCTGTATCGTTCCAATTTTATCGAATGTCCCCAAAGGGACGACTATAGATAAAGAGCTATACCATATAGAGGAGTAGCAGGTTCTATGGGACGACGCAAGTTCTAAACGAACTAGTTTACTGTTGATGGTCATATATTCTCAGTGTCTTTAAATATAGGGTTAATGACTTAGGAGGGTAATTAGGTTTCCAGTTTTGTCCGTATTAGGTCACTAAGGTTTCCTTCACCAAAGCAACTTGACTGGAGAAATAATAAAGAAAGAGGTTATTATGATTTATTAATATATTATAGGAATAATATATTAATAGGAGAAATCATATTTGTTTAATTAATATTGGTTAATAATTAATTAAGAATTAATTTTGTGATCAAATGTAATTAATTAAACTGTAGGGACTGAATTGTAATTATGTGATAGTTACAAATTAGGGCAATGGATGCCCTATGGGAGAGGTGGACGAATTCAAGGGGGATAAGGCCCTTGAAATCGTCCAAGGATAAGGGCCTTCAAAGCTTATCTTTTGGTTACTTGGTGGGCAAGCAACTAGATAAGGATAAGGACTGAAATCCTATTCTCTACCCTATATAAAGACCCTAAGCCTTAAGAAATCGGCCACTGGATTCTCTAGGGTTCCTAGAGCCGATTTCTAACCTCTCTCCTCTCTCTCTCTCTATCTCTCTCTCTTTCTTCTCCATTTGCTTGTGGTGTTTGTGAGCCATTAGAGGTACTACACTTGTGGTACTTGCTTTCAAGACTAAGAGGTTGAAGATTAGTGTTGTTATTGCAATATAACAACAAGAGGTATGTGATCTACTCTTATATATGAATTTCGAAATATATACCTGCTAGTTAATGTTCTTATTGTGTTCATAAAGTTGCATATCTAATAGAGAAAACATAGATCCAAATCTAGGGTTGCATGCACACATATGATTGTTTGTACAAAACCCATCAAGACTCATACTGAGGGTATGTTAACATTCCGGATACGAGCTGAGGAACGAGTGGTATGCCAGACTCGTACTGAGGTCTTGAGGGTATTGGAGCAATCTAGATATGAGCTTAAGGCCCGGAAGGTCATGCCAGACTCATACTGAGGGCTCGTGGGCATTCCAGATATGAGCTGAGGGTCGGGCAGGGCATGCTAGACTCATACTATGGGCCTGGGAGCAAGCCAGACATAAGCTGTGCGCCCAAGGGGCAAGCCAGACTTATGATGGGGGCTCAAGGGTAATCCAGTATGTTAGTTGTGGACCCACTGCATGCTATTATTTGTATATTTGCTATTGTTTGTGTGTTGGTACTTTGGGGGAAATCATTAATATTCGGGCTTATGGTTTTAGTTTATTGTTTCAGGTGCTTCTGATGTTTGGCAAGGTGAAAGCGTGATCGTACACATCCTCGCATTTTAGACTTATGGTTTCTGGGAAACTCTAATAATGTAAATTTTTTTAAAAACTATGTGTAAATGATTCCGGTTTTAAATAAACGTTTTGGAAACAACAGTTTTGTAAACACCTTTATAGAAAAAGGATTGTTTTGGAAAGTTTAAATTATACTGAAATTTTAATGGATGTTACAGGTTTCTCTATAGTAAGAACAAATGATTCTCTTTATATCTTGAGTAGTATGTGACTCTGCAATTTTGGGGTCGAAACAGGCTTGTTTGATATTGCCGAGGTACTGCCAACACAATGGGTGATCTACAAGTCGTCATAGGAATCAAGAAACTTAACAGCAATGACATAACGTGAGCAACATGTATGAAGTCCTACTTACAAGGACAAGATCTGTGGGAGGTTGTTAGTAGAAGTGAAACTAAGCCACATTATGAAGACGTTAATGATGCCTTGCACAAATAGAGAATCAAAGCAGGCAAAGTGATGTTTGCGTTGAAAACCGCAATTAAAGAAGAGAAGTTGGAGCATATTTAGAACGAGCACACACTGAAAGAATCATGGGACATGTTTGTGACACTTTGATGCGAGGCCACAACTTCTGTAGAATGAGATTTTATCGATCTCACAACATGACATGACGATTGCTCAATATTTATACAAGGACAAGTTGATATGTCAGGAGATTACTGAACTATATCCGCAATCCGTCATTGCAAAAGCTCGAATAAAGAGGATCATCATCCATGTACTGAGAACAAAATATAGAAGCTTCGTTACTATTGTACAAGGATGGCCCGTTCAACCATCATTTCTAACCAACCAAGAAGCTATGGCTAAGAAAATGAGAGGCATCACGCTGAAGAGTGAAGATGAGGCACTCTACACAAGTAAAAGTCGGAGGAATTTCAAGCCACCTTCTAAAGAAGGATACAAAAATGTTGACAAAGGGAAGAGTCAGCAAAGAACCTCACAACTATAGAGATCTCAAACTACCGACAATAAGAGTTCCTGGGGAGGAGGTTTAAAGGCAACTACAATAATTGTGGAAAGTGGAGCCACATGCCCATGGATTGTTAATCAAAGAATTTTTTTTGTTTAAAGCAATGTAGTAACTTCCAAAAAAAAATAGAGGATGAACGGGATGTGAGGCATGATGTGCCATAAAAGAGAATGAAACTAAGGTTGTGTTTGTTTTTTTTTTTAAATCCTCTTCTAACCTCTTAGTATTGCGCAGCGCAGCACACACGCAACACTTTTAAATTTGTAGCAGTTTGAATTTTAGAAGGCTTCGGGCTCAAAAACCTCTTCCCATCCTCTTCTCCACGCAGCATTGGGCTTGCATCTTCTTACCACTTCTAAACCTAATAACAAAAAAAAGACACAGACAAAATCATAGACGCGACTCCTTTGTTCTCTCTTGGCGTCGAAGCTGTTGAAGACCGGAACCGCTAACCGTTGTCGGTCGCCGCTCGCTGCTGCTGGTGGTCACCGATTTCGCTGCCCCATCCTCCATCTGACACCGTCTTCAACATCACATCAACAGGTTAGTTTTTTTCATGATTTCTTAATTAACTACCTAAATATAAAGAATTTGTGAAATAAGCTTTGAAAGTGTGAAATAAAATTGAAGCTGTGAAATAAGCTTTGAAACTGTGAAATAACTTTGAAACTTTGAATTATTTATTTTTCTGAACCTTTGAAACTGTAAAATAAGATTGAAGAAAAAGATGATAATTTCATGATTTTAATGGTTTCATAAGGGCATAATTGGCTGTTTTTCAATAGATCCACCATGATCTATAAGAGAGAAGTTTGTGTTTTATTATAATTCTAGCAGTTAGAGATATTAGAGCCATAAATTGAGTTAAAATTCAGCTTTAGTGCTTGTTATAATTCTAGGAGTTTGTGTTTTGTTCTTTAATTAGAGCCATGATTTATGTTTAGGTTCATGAATTTTTGTGTTGAATTGTTATGAATGTTGGGTAAAATCATAATCCTTGCTGAAATCATATACTTATATGCTGAAATCATAAACTCATATGCTAGTTTATATGCTGAAATCATTAGCTCAAATGGTTTTGTTAAACTTATTTATTGAATTGTTATCACTTGTATTTCTTGAATGGAGATCAAGTTTATGCTTAAATTGTTGAATATGCTAAACGTATTTGTTGATTATGTTGAAATATGATTAATCTTTTTTGCTAAAGTATGTATTCTATATTTTTTTGTTATTAGCAATGGGAGATAAACATACATGGACCAATGAGCAAACAAAATGCTTATTGCTCACTTATATTGAAGAAGTACAAACTGTGGGTAGAAAAGGTTTGAGTTTGCACAAACAATCATGGAACAAGTTAGGAACAACCATTAAGGAAAAGTATGGCGTGGATTTGAATCAATGACAATTAAAAAACGCCTATGATAACCTTAAAGCTAAATACACGGGATGGTTATACTTTAAAAACAAAACTGGAAACCTTTACAATCCATAAACAAATACTTTTAACTTAACAAATGAGGAGTGGGAGGACTTTAAAAAGGTATATATACACACACATATTTATATGTATTTTGTTTATATAATTGCCAATTCTTATATTACTTTTGTTACATTGATTGCGTTTAGGGACATCCGAAAGCCGCTTCTTTGAAAACCGTCCCATTATTTTTTCCAGAGCTTTGTGCAGAACTCTTTGATGGAAACAGTGCATCTGGTAATCTCAGTTATGCCACATCCCAAACACCATCGGGACATGGATCATCTTCTTTCCATGTCGCACCACTACATCTTATGGATGCCCCTTCTATTAACATAGATGAGGATGATTTCTTTTCCAATCATATTAGTGAGCATTTTACTCAGCCTCCACCTTCTACTGCTTCACCATCTGCTGATTCACCTTTTGTTGCTTCACATTTTGTTAACCCCAACAAAAGGGCTAAACCCTCAACTCCTAGACCTCGAGATCCTAGTGTCTCACCTGATCCACCTTCTTCTGCCTCACCTAAATCTTCTATTACTGTTGATGATTTAGCATTGGAGATGCAAAAAGCTCTACACCATTTGACTCAAGGGCCAACAATTCCCCAATGTTTAGAGAAGCTTGAGTTGCTCGAGTTAGACCCAATAGACCCTCTACAATTTGATGCGTATCACATTTTTGGAGGGACCATGAATATGAGAGAGAGATGTGGGTAAATTTTCCTAATGATCCACGAATATTAAGAGGATGGATCGAGATGACAGCTACAAGTTTGGGAGTTTTAAAGGATGGAAAGATCGTTCGTTAACTTTATATGTTTGAGTTGTTTAGGTTTTAATTGCATGTTTTGGAACTACATGGTTATGTTTTTTTGGTTATTTGCTACTTGAATGTTATTTTTAGTATTTGGTACTTGGATGTTATGTTATTTGGTACTTGAGATTTATGTTATGTTATTTGGTACTTGAAATTTATGTTATGTTTTTTTTTGGTACTTGAGATTTATGTTATGTTTTATGGCACTTGAAATGTATTTTATGTTTTTTTTGTACTTGAGATTTATGTTATGTTTTTATCTTATGTTATGTTATGTTTTGTTGATTAATAGGTTTGTAATGGATCACGACAAAAAGATACTACTCATAATTCTTATGTACTTGTACGTCCGCCACTTTTGGAAGAGGGGTGTCAAACGAGTGCGGCACAACGATTCGGAAATGACGGGACATGAATTTACGTTAGAGTTACTTCACCGTAATCCTCTACAATGTCTTGAAGTGCTACACATGTCCCGTGAATCATTTGTTTGGCTATGTGCTCATTTTAGAGTAAACTACGCGTTAAAGGATAGCAAACATGTGTCGGTTGAGGAGAAGATGGCTATGTTTTTTATGATGATCGGTCATAACCAACGTTATGTGATTATCAAGCGGAGATTTCAACACCCAAAGCAAACAATTCATAAGTTTTTTCATGAAGTGTTGGGCAAAATGTTGTTTTCTGCACATGACATTATAGTGCCAACTTCTTTTAATCCGAATCCAAACATTCCGGGACATAATAGGAGGCTACGATAGGTGTTCAAGGGAGAAGTTGTTGCACTTGATGGTACTTTGATACATGTTGTTGTCCCTGCAAACAAACGAGATTTATATAGAAGTAGGGGAAAAGGCGATTGTTACAAAAATGTATTGGCAATATGTGACTTCAACATGTTGTTTACGTTTGTTGTGGCCGGTTGGGAAGGGATAACACACGATTCTAGAATTTTATCAGAAGCATTAGCAAATCCACATGCACCATTCCCGCTCCCACCACCAGGTAGATTTATGGTTATTTAAATAGTTTTATCTTAGCTTGAAAAATAAATGACTTTTTTTTTTTGCTTTTTTACAGATAAATATTATCTTTGTGATGCCGCATATGCAAACATTCGAGGTTTTATGGCACCGTATCGTGATGTAAGGTATTGGCTTGGAGATTTCCATCGAAGACGTGCATTAACGAATAAAGAAAAATTTAACCATGCACACGCAATACTTCGGAATGTCATTAAGCGGGCTTTTGGTGTCTTGAAAGCATGATTCCCTATATTGAAGAAGATGACACAATTCTCGTTGGTTACACACTGAAACATTACCCTAGCATGTTTTGTGCTTCATAATTTTATAAGAAGAGAGGGACTACGTGATGAATTTTTTGCACGATATGATGAACCAAATGTCTCGGTTTGAAATAACAATGTAGTCGTTGATAATGATGAAGATGAGATTCCAACACATGGTACTGCAGCGGACCGTGAATATATGACCTATTTACGGGATGAAATTGCCGAAAAATTGATGCAAAATATGGAATGAAAATTATTAAAGGTTGGTTCTATGAATTGTATTTAAAAATATTATTATAAGACTAATTTGGTTGTTTGAATTTTATTTCAATGTTTTAAAACTACTATTATAAAATTTTTGGTATTAAAAAACTATCTTCAGTTTATTAAATTACTTTATTTTAAATTTTTTAATATCTGCAACATTCTGCAAATCTTAAAAAAACAAACATGCTTCTCATTACAGTCTGTGACACTTTGGTCCACCTCTTCTGCTGCAGAGGGCCGCAGAGGTGGTCCGCAGACTTCAGACAGTTTCACTTTGGAAAAACAAACAGCACCTAAAAGAGAAAGGCTAATGTTCGTAGAGACAAGGGTAAATAGAGGATACACCAAGGCATTGGTAGATACAGGTGTGTCTCATAATTTCCTTGCTAAAGATGAAGCCAGAATGTTGGGAATTCAATATACCAAAAAGTTAGGCTCGTTGAAGGTCATTAACTCTTAGTCCAAGCCTATCCTTGATGTTGCATATGGAGTAGCCCTTAAGATAGAAAAATGAGAGACACCATAGACTTGGAAATGATACATATGGATGACTATCACATGGTATTGGGAATGGATTTTCTAGACAACGTATGGACATGGTCATTTGAGAGAGATGATACCATGCGTATCACTAAGGGTTCAATAATTCACATTGTATGCTTGAAGGGAAATAGGATTAGGTCCTAAATCCTATCAACTATGCAACTCAACAAAGGTCTCAAAAAGAGTTAGACAAAGTTTATGACAACCTTGAATGAGGAAGTTGTTCCCTCTAAGGTGGATGTTCCGAAGGAAAATAAGAACATAACATCACCAGTGTTGCATAAAAAGTCTCATCTTAGATGAAAAGTGGAACATGTGATGGAGAAACTGGATAAGGTGAATAAGAAGAAAAACACATTGATTCGTAAGAGCAAAGTAGAATCTCTCAACCAAACATGTAAATGAGATGATCATCTCAATGAAGGATCATTTCATAACATCTTGATATTGCGGGAATTTTCCAAGGCTTATAAATGGTACAAGCCACATGCTTACAAGTTTTCCAAAGGGAGACATAAGAAACTATAAATGATAGTTCAACGGGGTCAGGTACAATATTATGGTGCAACAAAAGGCAACTAGTTTTGAGGGGGAGTGTTGAAGGTCATCACTAGCCCAATGGAGCTTAATAGAGTTTATCCCTTTATAAAAAAAATGTTATAATGTTCTAGAACAATCTAGAAGATTCTAGAACATATTGGAAGCCTATAGCATATTCTAGAACATACGAGAAGATTCAAGAATATTATAGAATGAGATGGAAGACCGTAGAATGTTATAGAACATTCTAGAAGACCATGAAAGACACAAGAACAACCTAGACTTATCTAGGAAATTATAGAACATTCTAGAAGAATATATAAGCAAGCTATATATTAGATTACGGTAAAATATTCTAGAATAATCATGAATGTATGTAGCTTGTAAGAAGATCTAGAAACTTCCTATAAGGAGGTGGAAACACTTATAAATAGGTATGGAACTCATTTTCTCCATCCCATCCCAACATCCAAGTATCCAAGGAACACTTCAAAAAAATCAAAGTGTGTAGTAGTCTCTCAAAGTGTAAGTTTTTCTTAAGTCTCTTAATAAAAGTATTGTTGTTTCCCACATAAAGAGTCGTGTTCAACACTTTCTCATTGCCATACCATGAAGGGGTCAAAATATTTTTTTTATCTTTTTTGATGATCATGCGCCAATTTTCTTGGATATGTCCAATGAAAAACAAGTTTGGACTGTATTAAATATACATATGATTCAAACCCAATTTTCTTAACACATAAATATGTATGTGCTAACAAGTTTGAATGTTCTTTCATTGACTTCCTCTACCAACAAGGCATCACGTCTTAATGCTCTTATTTGGGAACTTCTTAAAAGAATGGTAGAACCTAACACAAACATCTCAATATCCCAGATAATGTTAATTCTTACTCTACTTATCTCTACTCGGTACCTATAACATTTTTTTGGGTAAGACTGCTCTTTTAGTAGTCGACACCATCAATTTCCATCCCATTACTATTCTATACATGAAGCTTTGGATAGATAACCTCCTAATTATAATATTCTCAAAGTAGGGGGTTATACTTGCCTTGTCTTACTACAACCATATGAACATACCAAACTTCAACCCTATTATTGTGTTTATCTTTTTTTGGTAAATGATATCAAACAAAAAGTATATCGTTATTGGGAACCTATCTCTAAATTTTTTTTATCTCATTATGTTGTCTTCTAGGAACATAAATTATTCTCCTACATTCAAACTTTTCAGTTACAATATGATTATTTTCCTCCCTTCTTTACCGATACACTCATTCAACTTTTTCCGACATAACCATCCCTTTCTATGACACCTTTAAATAATAGTTTCCACCACCAACTGATTCCTCACCATTGTCTATCTTTGAATCTTTTTCACCCGTTGACTTTCATCTACCCTCCACATCATTTGATCATTCAACATTGTCTACTTGCTACTCTACTCCTAACTTCCCTCTATGGACTCTCCTAAAATGTTGGCCACTCTTGATGATTTTGCTACCAAAACTTGTTGATCCACTTGAATACATAATATACCTTATTATATTTGTGATTACAAGTGTTATCCTATTCTTTTTTTCTTCCCATGCACCATCTTTGCATAGAATGTTATACATGAAGAATTACATGTTATTAATAAGGCTCGGACATGGGACATTTTTCCTCTTCCTTTTAGAAAGAGAATTGTTGGCTCTAAATAGAATCATTGGCTCCAAATAGATTTACATTCAAGGATATGGAACTCCAAAATGAAAATGAAAGAGGAATTTGATTACAAGTGTTAACCTATTCTTTTTTTCCCACGCATCATCTTTCGTATAAGAGGCATATATTGACCCACTTTGGTAGAATGCTAGATCTAAAGAATTACATGCTTTTATTAAGGCTCAGACACAGGACACTACCCCTCTTTCTTTTAGAAAGAGAATCATTGGTTCTAAATAGGTGTTCATTCACGGAAATGGAACTCTAAAGTGAAAACGAACGAGGAATTTGAAGTAGATGTTAGCATTTTAAAGTCAAAAGTTGTTGGGTAATCTTGGCATGGTTGGCTTATTTGGGTTGAGTTGATGAGTCACAGTTTTAGTTAGATTAAATTTAGTTCTAAATTGGTTATATGTTGACTAAGTATTAGGAGAATAGTGTGCGTTAGTTGCCACTTTTATAGGGAGCACATGCACATGCAACCTTTGTTTTTTTGTTTGTTTCTTTAGCTATAAATAGCACACCTTGTAGTCTATTTTGATGTGG